ATTGGTCAGTCGTGGCTTTCTGCAGTTAAATATTGTTGTATAATCATGTTAAATAGAATAATTGATTGTTTTCCCACACAACTCATTTCCAGCTCTCTTTATTTCTGGATTATAAAATCATTTGAACTCAGATCAATATTTCATGTTCATTTATATGTTTATTTGGTAGGTAGCCATGTAATAAGTGGGATAATTTAAAGGGGTCATATGATGTTGCTAAAAAGAACATTATTTTGTGTATTTGGTGTAATGAAATGTGTTTATGCGGTTTAAGGTTAAAAAAACACATTATTTTCCACATACTGTACATTATTGTTTCTCCTCTATGCCCCGCCTTTCTGAAACGCGTCGATTTTTACAAAGCTCATCGGCCTGAAAAGCGAGGTGTGCTCTGATTGGCCAGCTATCCAGTGTGTTGTGATTGGCCGAATACCTCAAGCGTGTGACGGAAATGTTACGCCCCTCACCATACTGTGATGCCCTGTCGGCCGGAGCGACAAGACAAATACATGAAAACCCATTATAAACGAGGCATTTGTTGCATCCAGTGGGAACATAATTACTGATTACAATGACTTATACTGTCTTTTTACGCGGCGCGATGCAACGCAACGCGTTCCAGTGTGTTGTGATTGGCCGAATACCTCAAGCGTGTGACGGAAATGTTACGCCCCTCACCATACTATGATGCCCTGTCGGCCGGAGCGACAAGACAAATACATGAAAACCCATTACAAACGAGGCATTTGTTGCATCCAGTGGGGACATAATTATGGATTATAATGATTTATACTGTCTTTTTACGTGTTGCATCGCGCCGCGTAAACATAAAACCATGTCTGCATTTGTAATCGGAGAAATGACAAACAACAAGTGCTACTCTACACTGCTTAAAACTCGCGTTTGAATTGTCAGTGACTGAGTGACAGAGTCTGTGAGTCAGAACACCCGGCATGTAATCTACTCTCACAGGATCAGGAAACAGTCCTCCATAAAATGTGCTGCACACATCTGAATATTTGGGTTGAACTGTTCTGGAACAGTGTTGTAAATACAACTTAACCACTGATTTCTAGTCGTGTAAACTCTTTCAGATCTACTCTGCGGACACAGGATACAGTCGGCCCACACACTGATGTTTCATTCTAGAGTCACTCTGAGGGCCAAACACTTCTTTTTTTCAAACAAAACAAGGGCCAAAGAGTTAAGAGTCTAACGGGCCAGTCAATGTCACTCCAGACAGGCATTTGTTCAGTCTGGGACCACCAGGTTTACGAGAGCTTATCACTAGAAGTGTTATTATCTTTAACGAATAAACTATCTGTTACTGAAATGAAGCTGAAATAAAACTAAATGTAAATATTAGATGAAAAGCTTAAATTAAAATATATTCCTTTTTAACTGTTGTTGAAGTACTAAAAAAACTAACATTGAAATCAAATTAAATCAAAGCTACATACAAATATTTAAAAATAATATTTATATATTTAATAATAATTATTATATATAATATTTAATCATATTAATATATTTAAAATTTAAATGACTAAAACATAAACTAAAATGAAACTGAAGACTGAAAATATCATAATAAAAGCCAGTCAATGGACCAAAGTCCTCTTTTCAGATGAAAGTAAATTTTGCATTTAATTTGGAAATGAAGGTCCCAGGGTCTGGAGGAAGAGTGGAGAGGCACAGAAAACATGTTACTTGAAGTCCAGTGTGAAGTTTCCACAGTCAGTGATGATTTAGTATACTTTTTACGTATAACTCAGAAATGGGCTGTATGTGCTTCTCAGAAATATATTTAAAATGACATTTAAGTATACTTGACTTATATTTTTAGCTATGCTTGTGCTCCTAGAATCCGTGTTTTTATTGTTATACTGTAAGGGGAGCTAGTACACATCTTCTGTACAAAATTTCCAAAAAACACAAGGGAAGAAGAAACCGAAACAACAGATGCTTCCACATGTAATCTAACACGATCATCAGACATAAAACAGCATCAAAACTGTGTAACGTTATGGAATAAAATGTCGACCAATGAAGAGGTAATAATGACTGTCAAGCTTTGGGGTGTTGATCGACTTTACGTTTTGATTATACTTAAAGTATGATGTAAAGTTCTCTTAAAGAAAACTTACGAGTATACTTGCAGTATAAAACTGCTAAACTAGTAGTTTACTGAGACTATACTTCAAAGTGTGCTAAAATGCTAAAAAAAAAGTATTTAATTAGTAAACTATCGGTATACCTATAAGTTCACTTTTAGTATAGTTGCACTACGAGCTAAAAAACACTGATGTAAACTAGTTGTGTACTCAAAGTTTACTACTGTTATACTTAAAGTATACTTTCATATACTAGAAAGTGGGCCAATTTAGTCCCAAGTAGTATTGAAATAGTACACTTACAAGTATACTACTAGTACACTGATATTTGTATACTTACTACATAAAGTATACTTAAAAATATACTTTAACTTTAATAAGTATACTTAATAAAATAAACTTGAAGTATACTACTTTTTGGTAAGGGATGGCCCTTTAATTATTTTTCAAAAATAGACCGTAAAAGCTGCTTATCCTTCAGAAAATGTTGATGCAACCCAGAATTTGGGACGTGTTAAGTACGGGATAATGTGCGGTCAGCCGGTCATGGAGTTTATTTCGCGATAATTACCTGCTGACTTTACACAATCACGCTTACTGGGCTGCTGTAGGCTACTCACCAAATAAATAAATGCGTCAGAATAAAACGTTAATTTGATTTTAAGTTATTTTTAAAAAAAAAAACAGTGAAAGTCCCGGCGTTCTAAAATCGCGGCAAGTTAAAAAAGTTCAACTTTTCAAAAAGCTCGCGTTTGTTGCGTTCTACTGCTTCGTGAAAATTACTTGAAACCTATGCGTGTTTAATTGGAACCACCTTCTTTATTGTATCTGGTTTCGAAATTCCAGTGGTTCGTCGCTAGGATAATTTGTCGATATTTTAATGACACATAGACCTAATAAAAAATAATTGTAGTCGTTTATCTCTTATTGTCCTGATAACAAGCTAATCAATAAATAATACAAAACAAGCCAGAAAAAATAATAAAATATATATATACATTTACATATTCATATTTAATGGTATTAGATGATTTGTTAATTGCATTTAATAGATTATCTTTCAATAAAATATTTGTAATTGATTTGTAAAAGATGTTTTAATGCATTTTTGGCCTGAGTTTTTGTTGCATGACACCATTCTGACCAGCAGGCGTCACCAGTGTGTGTTTCGAGCGCTTCGAGAAGTGAATGATTTTGTGAAGCAGTGTAATTTAATTGATTCAAAAATTTTCAACTTCTTACTGTTATTTGCTCCCAGTGACACCGGTTTTATTAAGTTGAACTTCTTTTAACTTGATGATAGAATCCCGTTTTACGCACGAGGCACGAGCGCAAAAGTCAAATAAGTCGGGTCTGTCGTGTGTTGTATTGGAAAAACAATAGAAACGCTTCAAATGATTGCGAAAAGGCATTTTGTATAAACGGCCACGTACAATGTAAAAATCTTTAACAATATTAAAACTGAAGTTCTCTGGGGATGTTTTACAAAAAATTTGTATAAAACCATAGATTGTATAAAAACATGGACGTAGTGTCCGTGACGTCACCCGTAGATTTCCGAAGAGCGGTTTTGAAGCTCAAAAGTGGGCGGAGCCGGCCGTCGCCATCTTTGCAGTGCGTCACTCCCGGATAATCGAAAATGGGCAAAGAGGCGGGAGCAGGTTGCTGAAGCCACGCCCACCTAGCTCGACAGTGGTGACAGCAGCGGCAATCCACCTGTCACTCAAGTGGCCACGCCCTTAATTATGCAGAACTTTAAGGCTTAATATAATTTAAACGGATGAGTTATAAAAAAATTCACCCACCTCACAGTTGTCATGAAGGGCAAAATTAGCTATATAGACCAAAATCATTTTTTGAACCAGGCTGTAAACATGTTTTTTTTCTGCTGTAAAGTTGGGCATTTTAACATGGGGAGTCTATGGGGTTGACTCCCTTTTGCAGCCAGCCTCTAGCAGCCAGTCGCTGAATTACAGTTTAAGTCACTTCCTTGTTGGCTTCACGAGAGAGAGCAGGAGGTTGCCGCTTGTATAAAACCAAAGAGTGCCCAAGATATACATACACCTCGTTGTCATTGATAAGTATAAGGAAATCGCTGGATGGCGCTATTGACCAATTAATCTAGTATTCCAAAGGACCGTGTGACAATAGTTAAAAAACCCTCTGATTATAGCAATGAATTTTAATGTTTGATAATACTGTGTTATGACGTTATGAGATATCCTAATGCAAACCCACTTTATCCTGTTTTAAACCACACCTTTTTACCAGAACAAAACTATTTGGTACTAGTTCATGTGTCTGGTCTTGATATGGTTATGTAATTAAAGACTTCCTAATTTTAGAGAAGATTTCATATCCATATGGACAACACATGCTCTCACACACAAGTTACAAAGCCAGAATTGCTCTGTTGTTGCATGAGATTTAATTTCTGCTCAAGAACACTAAAATATTTACCTTTATATAGGCTACCCTTTAATTTTTTTTAAATTCTTCGTTAAATGCTGTGAAAAAATGGGAGGGGGGCATTTTTTGAATTTTTTTGGCATATATTTAACCAACCAAGTAGACAGAAGCGTGTCGTGTTAAACTTCAAGTAAAACAAGTTTAAACAAGTCTAATTCTTGGATAATTATTATGCATGCAGTTTTATGACTTTGCAGGCTTTGTAAGTTTAGGATTGAAAACATTATTTAAACAGAAATTTAAGTACATTTCTGGCATTCTGAAAAACAGAAGTTTGGTTACTTAAAATTGTAGACTAGAGACAGATCAAATCACAATTTATCCTCATGATGGCGCAGTTTTCTATTGTTGCTGTTGAACTTTGTTCTACATTTTACAGGTCTAGGATGTCTTCCAGCATTGCTATTTCCCAATCACTCTGTGTAAAGGCTGCAGAAGTTCCTTAAACTGACTTTTAAACACTTTAAGTTCCAGTCTCCATCATGTTAAGGGTCAGAGGAGTATGACAGCGAGGAACATTCTCTGCTTTCTGTCCTGTAGAGCTGCTGGCATTTCATGAAACCAGGTGAGATCGAGCTTAATTCACTGAGAAAACAAAAGCTAGTTTTTATTTGGCTGATTTGTTTGTGTCATATATTGCTGCATGGCTTAAACTCCATGTTGTACACTCTTAAAAATAAAGGTGCTTCACGATGCCATAGAAGAACCTTTTTGTCTAAATGGTTCCATAAAGAACCTTCAACATCTGAAGAACCTTTCTGTTTCACAAAAGCTTCTTTGTGGCGAAAGAAGGTTCTTCAGATTATAAAAAGGTAAGAAAGAGATGGTTCTTTAAAGAACCTTTGACTGAATGGTTCTTTGTGGAACCAAAAATGGTTCTTCTATGGCATCGCTTGAAGAACCTTTTGAAGCAGCTTTATTTTTAAGAGTGTAGTCTCGACCGATAGAAGGTTTAAAGTGAAATACAGGTTAAGAGTTTCTGGTGTGGATCACATCATCAAAAGTCAAATGTGTTTTTGTTCCAGTCAAGTTTTATTATTATTGTAAGTGTCTTATAATAAATAAACATTTCTGTTTAAAGGTTATTATATGCATTTTATTTCATTTTCCACCAGTCGTGTAGTGTATGCAGTGGAAGTGGTCTGGTCCGTGTGGTTATGGAGGGGTTTTGGGCTGTGTTTTCCCCTGTGCTGAGGGTCTGGTTCACCAGTTTGGTGGTCCTGATCATGCTGCCTGCCATGTTTGGGATCTCGCTTGGCATCACTGAGACCTACATGAAGATCCTTATCAAAACCTTAGAGGTAGGTGAGATGGTAAAAATCGTTAATTGAAATAAAAAATGTATATTATAAGAAAAACTTTAAAATTAGAGAAAAAATCAGTTGGCTTAGTAAATAACTGAAATACGTAAGTTGACATACTAAATTACAAATAACTAAAACTTAATTTTTTTAAAACTATTTAGAAATATATATTTTTAAAAAATGGCAAAGGCACAACAAAAAAATTAACTAAAATAAAATATTAAATATAAAATGTTAATCAAACTATGAAGTACATAAATAATAATATTTACGGGCATAAAATTAAAGGATATATTATGACTATGACCTTTTTTGCATCAAGTTTTATCAAAATGCTGGAACTTCCTCCACAAATGAGACAACTTTCTGTGCTATAGGATAATATTAACCAATAGACAAATAGCTATTTCACATTTTGTCTTGCTCCATTCTACTTTTTAAAACCCAGTTGTCTAGTTTGCCTATCAGCTCCTAAAAGACAAAATCAAGTCATGCCCTACATTTTTTTTTTCATTACAGAATTAAAATGGGTTACAAAGCCATTCAGTTCACTTTGGCTTCACACTGTTTTTAATCACTCAAATAGTAGACCTGTAGTAATACATTTGTGAAAGCACAAATACTTCATGTAGTCTCTCAGTTGATATGAGCTCATAAAAACTGCATATATATTAATTACACATGATTTAGACATGATATGTTTTAAAAAGGGTTGAGACGTACAGCATGACACTCCAGAACACTACTTGACATTCTAAGTCTCCCAGGACACTAGGCTATTGCACACTGTCACCAAGGGGAAATGAAACAGTTTTGTTGACCAATGAACATTGTGGCATAATCAGATGGTATATATTTCTCAAACTGAAATGTGCTGTGTCAGCACATTGTTAAGTGCCCTTTGGTCTTAATTGTGATTGATTATGCAAGTTCAGGGACAAATGGAATCAGTATATATTAAGATTTTGCCTGGTGTTTTTGCAGTGGGCAACACACAGAATCCAAAGGGCAAGTAGAGCAGAGGAGATCACTACTTGACATTCTAAGTCTCCCAGGACACTAGGCTATTGCACACTGTCACCAAGGGGAAATGAAACAGTTTTGTTGACCAATAAACATTGTGGCATAATCAGATGGTATATATTTCTCAAACTGAAATGTGCTGTGTCAGCACATTGTTAAGTGCCCTTTGGTCTTAATTGTGATTGATTATGCAAGTTCAGGGACAAATGGAATCAGTATATATTAAGATTTTGCCTGATGTTTTTGCAGTGGGCAACACACAGAATCCAAAGGGCAAGTAGAGCAGAGGAGATACTAAAACATTCCGCATCAAATGGTGAGTTTATACAGCTACAGTCACAAACACATGTGGATCCAGGTGTTTTATAACCAAATAAAATAAAATAGGATTTATACCCCCTCCCCCCTCAAATCTAAATTCTGTCAGCTTATCTCTTATGCTCACCAAGGCTGCATTTATTTGATTCAAATTACAGTAAAAATTGTGAAAAATTATTACAGTTTAAAATAAATGTTTTCTATCGTAATGTATTTTAAAATGTAATGTATTCCTGTGATGCAATGCTGAATTTTCAGCATCATTACTCCAGTCTTCAGTGTCACATGATCCTTCAGAAATCATTGTGATTTGCTGCTCATAAAACATTTCTTATTATTATCCATATTGAAATCAGTTTAGCTTTATATTTTATAAATTTTTTCAGAATTCTTTGATAAATGGCTCAATAGAATGGCATTTATTTAAAAAGGAAATCTTTTGTAACATTATAATTATGTCACTGTTGATCAATTTAATGCATCTCTGATGAATACAAGTATTAATTTCTTTAAAAATAAAAATTAATGACCCCAAACTATTAAATGGTAGTGTATACCGTTTTTCGTTTCTATGCTGCTCTGTTCCAATCTCCAACAAGTACAAAAAAACACCATAAATCACCATGAAAGTGGTACATATGCCTTGATCGCTTTATATTAAGTTATTTGAAGTCATTTGATAACTTTGTGTGAGGAACAGTCTGAATTTTAAATCATTATTGACAATATCAAACTTCATTTGATATCATTTTTTAAGCTGAATGCAAATGAGATTGCAGATCTTTGACATGTGGAAGATTATCAGTGAATAATGTCTTAAACCTCAGTCTGTTCCTCACTGTTTAAAGGGGTCATAGGATGCTACATGCACTTTTACAAGTAGTTTGAACTGAAATGTGTGTTGGCAGGGTGTGTACACAACCACCCTATAATGATACAAATCCACCCAGTGGTTAAATGTGGTTAAATGTTTTCCCCTTTCTCAAATCGAGCCGATCTCAGATGCCTGTCTGTGTGACGTCACACAGACAGGCATCTGAGATCGGCTCGATTTGAGAAAGGGGAAAACATTTAACCAGAAGTCTGTGTAAAGAGAATTCTGAGGATTGTTTCTAAACACATTATAAATGTTAGAAATGTAAAACACATTACAAAGACTCTGAAGTATGTAGTACTGAATTGTGGAGTTAAACCGTTAAACAGTTTTTCACCAATTCTGTGTTCAAGATTTTATGGGCGGGGCTAAAACGGTGGCTTGATGACGCAATGGAGCCAGCGAGCATGGCCCCTCCCCCTAACACTGTAAGAGGTGTGTTCGACTTGAAGCAGCACTGCACAGATCGATCCGTGTGTGACATCAAAGTACAGAGCTAATAGAGAGCAAACGGCCCCTCATGCTTTCGAATCTCTCTCGTGTCATACACTGATCATTCTGCACAGTCCTGCTTCAAGTCGAACACACCTAATAACTTCAACACAGTGGTTTGCCTGCTCAATCGCAAGTTACTGCCGTCTGTAAATGCATAATACCTGGTTGCAATAATTTACAAAACAGCTCTGTTTCCTCATTTAAAGGGATCATATGATGTTGCTAAAAAGAACAGTATTTTGTGTATTTGGTGTAATGAAATGTTTATGTGGTTTAAGGTTAAAAAAAGCACATTATTTTCCACATACTGTACATTATTGTTTCTCCTCTATGCCCCGCCTTTCTGAAACGCGTCGATTTTTACAAAGCTCATGAGTCTGAAAAAGCGAGGTGTGCTGTGATTGGCCAGCTATCCAGTGTGTTGTGATTGGCCGAATACCTCAAGCGTGTGACGGAAATGTTACGCCCCTCACCATACTGTTGATGCTGTCTCCCGGAGCGACAAGACAAAAAAACATGAAAACCCATTATAAACGAGGCATTTGTTGCATCCAGTGGGGACATAATTACGCATTATAATGACTTATACTGTGTTTTTACGTGTTGCGTTGCATCGCGCCGCGTAAACAAAACCATGTCTGCATTTGTGATCAGAAATGACAAACAAGCACTAACGTTACTCTACACTGCTCAAAATTCGCGTTTGAATCATCAGTGCCAAATCCTTTAAATGAAAACGTACTTACAGACTGTAAGTCAGAACAGCCGGCGGCGGACCAGCGTGAGCTGAGCAGCACTAAGTTGATGTATTCCCTCAGCGACCAGCACAGATCAGCTCTAGGCATGACAAAGCAGATATTGTCCTCTTTTGGAAGACCAAACAAAGTAGTTTCGCTTTCACAACGAAACACACAGTGTCTTCACGACATGGCGGCAGCAACATTACTACAGCGAGAATGAAAGTTACGCCTTCTTTCTTTGCGTGAACATTTGGGCGGCGTTATGCAAATCTTCCCACATAGTGAGGTAGATATGTGGGGGCGTGTTAGAACGAGCCGTTTTAGGTAGGCGTGGCTGACTCTTAACTTTTATAAAGAATATCTCTTTGGATTTGAGACTTTAGTCTTTGCAACTTTACAGATCTTCTTTATGCGCCAGGAACTTGTAACACTCCAAAGAGAAAGGAGAAATTGAAATCGCATCATATGACCCCTTTAAATGATCTGCAGAGGAAGACAGTTGAGCGAGAGACGGCAGTTTTTCTGCGAGTGGGTGTGGTTTCATCGCCGAGCAGAGAATACTGCTTATTTTTTCAAGATTTTGATAGCTTATTTTATTCACTTGGCGTTTTTTTTAGCATTCAAATTTGGCTTGGTGGTTAATAACACATTTTTCTGTGGTGTGATAAACTCAGAACACACATTTAATACTGACTTTACACGGACTTTAAGGATTACTCAGGATTTCAGTTTTTGCTTTCAATGGAAAAAAAAGAGCTGCTGTCTTTTCTATTTCTTTCCTCAGGTTCTTGTAAAAGTCAACAGCATTTTTAGTTTTGCTGCACGATGGCTGTTTCCCTCTAGATATGATCAGTGATCTGACAAGACACAAGCAGTGCTCTGACATCTCTCAGTTTATCTGGCTACTCAAGTAATCACACGTTACACGATGACTACAGTTTTTCTCTCTCTCTCTCTCACTCGATCACAGTGGACTTTAGCCCATCTTTATCAGTTACACCCTGCATTAGATTTATAAACGCTCTTTATCAATTCCTCACTGATCTTCACTGATTAATCAACATCTTAGCTGATGAAAGCGTTACTGATTATACCCAGTTATAAAGTGTAGCTTGTTTGAATGTGTTTCATAAGATGGCACAGAATGGACACTGTAAACTTTGTGCTTGCATCATATTAAAGCAATAGTTCACCCAAAAAATTAAGTCTGTCATCATTTACTAATAATGAAAGTGATTGGGCATAGCTCAAAATACACCATTCAAATGCACTGCATTACTGATTTTTAGAAATTAATATTTTTATTGAGCAAGGACATATTAAATTGCTCAAAAGTGACAATGAAGACATTGTTGCAAAAGATTACTATTTTGAATCAATGTTGCTCTTTTCAACTTTCTATTCATCCAAGAATACTATAAAACGTTTGAGTGATTTTTAAAGGATCATGTGACACAGAAGACTGGAGTAATGATGCTGAAAATTCAGCTTTGACTCTTTATCAATACCTCACTGATCTTCACTGATTAATCAACATCTTAGCTGATGAAAGCGTTACTGATTATACCCAGTTATAAAGTGTAGCTTGTTTGAACGTGTTTCATAAGATGGCACAGAATGGACACTGTAAACTTTGTGCTTGCATCATATTAAAGCAATAGTTCACCCAAAAAATTAAGTCTGTCATCATTTACTAATAATGAAAGTGATTGGGCATAGCTCAAAATACACCATTCAAATGCACTGCATTACTGATTTTTAGAAATTAATATTTTTATTGAGCAAGGACATATTAAATTGCTCAAAAGTGACAATGAAGACATTGTTGCAAAAGATTACTATTTTGAATCAATGTTGCTCTTTTCAACTTTCTATTCATCCAAGAATACTATAAAACGTTTGAGTGATTTTTAAAGGATCATGTGACACAGAAGACTGGAGTAATGATGCTGAAAATTCAGCTTTGCATCACTGGAATAGATCACATTTGAAAATATATTCAACTAGAAAACAGTTCTTTTAAATTGTAATAATATTTCACAATGTTACAGAATTTTTAAAAAAGCAAATAAATGCAGCTTTGGTGAGCATAAGAGACTTTCATTATTTCATTATTGATAATAATTAACCAGCACTTTTGTCTGTGTTACTCAGGCTTAATTCAGCGGGATAATTCGTCTTTGGAGCAGGAGATCGAGGAGTTGCGTCGGAACAGGCCAAAGTCGGCCGAGCGTGGAGACTTCACTCTGAGCGACGTCCTGTACTTCACCAGGAAAGGCATTGAGAGCATTGTGGAAGACGATGTCACGCAGAGATTCACCTCAGAGGAGCTGGTGTCCTGGAACCTCCTCACCCGAACCAACAACAACTTCCAGTACATCTCTCTCAGGCTCACTGTACTGTGGGGAGTTGGCGTGGTCGTGAGATACTGCATACTGCTTCCTCTACGGTAGAGTACTATTTCATTCATACTTTATAGCTGGTAAACTACTGTTCAAATGTTATTTTTTTAAATTTAAGGAAATTAATACTTTATTTCAACAAGAATGCATTAAATTGATCAAAAGTGACAGTAAAAAATTTTGTTATGTTGTTGTTTCTATTTTGAATAAATGCTGTGCTTTTGAGCTTTTTATTCATCAAAGAATCCTGCATCATGGTTTCCACAAAAATCTTAAGCGTCACAACTGTTTTCAACATTGGCAATAATAAGAGATGTTTTTTGAGCGGCAAATCAGCATTTTAGAATGAAGGATCATGTGACACTGAAGACTGGAGTAATGATGCTGAAAATTCAGCTTTGCATCACAAGAACAAATTACATTTTACAATATATTCAAATAGAGTACAGTTATTTTCAATTCTAATAATAATATTTAGCAAAATGACCGTTTTTACTGTATTTTTGATCAAATAAATGCAGCCTTGGTGAGCAGAAGAGACTTCTTTCAAAAACATTTGAACGGTACATAAGTATACTGGTGAGATTCAGTGTTTTGTTCTTTTCTTGGCAGTATATTGTAAGTCAGTCTGAAAACAGAAATAGTGTCATAATGTTTTTCACTGAAAATCATGCACCTGTCCTTCTGTTCTCTGTAGGATTACACTTACAGCTATAGGGCTGAGCTGGTTGGTGATTGGCACAACGATGGTGGGTGTCCTCCCCAATTTCAGGTAATGCTTTAGTGCTGTTATCAGCTTTACAAATGCAAGAATAATTCATAATTGACAATTCCAGTTGTTTTCTGTTGGTCATAAGCCTAAGTACCATTGGCACCATTGGCTTACTATCCAGCAGTTCTGGTAGTGCTTATTAATCATCACCATAGTCTTTGTTAACTCATTATGTATGGGATGTACAGTATGTTATGAAATATTCTGATGGCAATGTTTTTGTACTCGACTTGAGGCATCTCTGTCACTTTTTTATTGTATGTTAAGTACAGTAAATTCAGTTTTCAAGACTTCACATTTTCACCAACATAATATAGGCAGTACTATTTAATGTGTGTATACACAGATTTACATTTTTAGTTTCATTTAGTATTTCTTTAGGTTTTAGTAATTTAGTAAAAATGTCTATTTTTTTATATTTCTATTCAGGTTGCATTTAAGTTTTAACTGTTTATATATTGTTGTTCAAATAGGTTTGTTCAAAAATTATTTTTTACATTATTTCTTACAGACATGATGCCAGTTAATTGCATGGTATCACAGTTTTATTCCTAGTAACAACTCAGTGTTAAGATTTACATCAAATATTTTTTTTGCAAAGGAAAGCCCTTTATTTGCAGAATAATTTTTAATAAATGCTGAACGATGAAAAATGCACTTTAACCTTTTTAACAATGGACATCTAATAATAATGTTCAGTCCATTTTTTATAGTTGTTTTTGTCTGGGCGTATTCGTTAAAGTGTTGTTTAATCCTAATCACATTCATTACAATCCTCTGTTGTTTCAGAGTGAAGGGTTGGTTGAGTGACCTGGTCCACTTGATGTGCTACAGGATCTGTGCAAGAGGCCTTTCAGCTACGATTCACTATCACAACAAGTGAGTTCAGGGCTCCATTTAACAACAACCGGTCTAATCAAGTAACAACAATATGGTTTAGACTTGTACAGACACTATACTAATAGTTTTTTCAGACAGAACAGGCCTAAGAGAGGAGGCATCTGTGTAGCTAATCACACTTCGCCAATTGATGTCGTTATTCTGGCTAATGACGGCTGTTATGCAATGGTGAGTGAGATAACTCTTCAGTGCAATGGTTCTTAAATCTTGGTATTTGCACTCTCGTACAGGTTTGTATGCACTTTTATCTTCTCTTTTAATTGTGTATTGCACTCAGGACTGCAGTTTTACTTGATATGATTTTGAGTGAATATGACTTAAATTACAATCTGTTTTTCCCATTAAGCAAACAGATAATTTCAGAAGATTAGAAATGGCGTACATAAATCATATAGACTACTTTGATGATACTTCTTGTGCTTTTTGGAATTAAGGTTACTGTCACCAACCTCTCATTCCTGTGTTTAATGGATGATGAAATGTCAAAGAGGTTTGGAGAGACACAATTGGTATTTTGGGCTTCTGCAGGTCAAAAAAAATGGTCCTGTATACTTTTTACATTATTCATTCAGTCGTAAATAAATAAGTGAATGAGTGAACAAATAAATAAATAAAATGCAGATAATTAATGTTCTTCAATAATGTATGTTTTTCAATAATATTAATATTGATACAAAATTAATGTATTTTAAGAGCCATGTTTGAATACTTAAAGTGTTTTGTTTGTTATTCATCCTATAAAAAACATATATTAAATATTGTATACAATAAATTAATTTATTTTTTAGATGTTTTAAGAGCCATATTTGAATACTTAAAATGATTTGTTCTGGGGGGTTTTTTTTTCAACAAAAATGATTGATCTCAAATTAATTGAGATATTAATGTCTTTCAATGGGCATTTCAAAAATACAAAAATATTCATATTCAATTAATTATTTGTTTGGCATATTTTAAGAGCCATATTCGAATGCTTTAAATATTTTGTTCTGTATTTCTTTAGTTATTCATCACTAAAACTATATATGAAGCTGAAAGAAATTGCAGATTTTTTTTCCAATAATAACATAATAGCTAAATGAATACATGTAAATGATGTGGGTTTATTTAATGAATTTTGGCAACACCAAAAACATTAGAAAACCGCTGCTTTAGTCACAGAAGAATTCATTCTCTGCCTTATTAACACTTAGTTCCAAAGTTAAAAATAATTGCTCGCAATTAAACAAACCCTTTTTTTGTTTTAAACAGGTAGGACAGGTTCATGGTGGTTTAATGGGAGTCCTCCAGCGTGCAATGGAGAGATCTTGCCCTCATATCTGGTTTGAGAGAGCAGAGATGAGAGACCGCCACCTAGTGACACAAAGGTAAAACAACAATAATGATGTTCTATTATTGTTAATCAAGCAGAGCACTACAAAACTATATATATATTCATGATTTTCAAACTTTTTTTTACTTCCGTTTCATTTTTCTACAGTATAAATCTGCATATATGCATGTATATATTTCTCCGCATATTTTCTTAGACAACATACCTCCCTGTTGCATGCTGGGTCATGTCTGTCTGAGTCAGCTGCTATGTGCCTCACAGCACAACAGAAACACGTTCATTTAAAAACAACACACAGTGTTCTGACATGCACTGAGGACTTTTGGAAATTACATTGCACAGACACACAAATACTTGTACATCCATAATATAAATCATGTTTCATACATTTCCCTGTTGCATGCTGGGTCATGTCTGTCTGAGTCAGCTGCTATGTGCCTCACAGCACAATTTAAAAACAACACACAGTGTTCTGACATGCACTGAGGACTTTTGGAAATTACATTGCACAGACACACAAATACTTGTACATCCATAATATAAGTCATGTTTCATACATCGTTACGGGAGCTGATATTACAGTTTAGTATCATTTCAAGCACAGACAATCTCTGCAATACTATATTTTGGTTTAATGTCAGTCTGTTTCTTTATGACCGTACTGGTCACATTTTAGTTTGGGGACCAGTTCTCACTATTAATTAACTATTAACTACTACTTCTGTCTCAGTAAACTCCTAATTTGCAGCTTATTAATAGTTGGTAATGTAGTTGTTAAATTTAGGTATGGGGTAGGATTAAGGGATCTAAAATATGGTCATGCAGAATAACGCATTAATATGTGCTTTAATTTCCGTCGCTCAGTAACATATTTTAAGCAGCCAATTTAATCTTAGTCAGCTTACATGGCAGGTTTAACTCTGTTCAGTTTGTAATGCAATAAAAAAAAATTGTTTTGTCTGAATATCATCTGTTTGCCATTCATCACCACTATATTTTAATCTAGAATAAAAAAAATTAATTAAATATCAAGTTTTCATTATGTATGTTTTTCCCCCAAAGAAATCCAGAATTGAGCCCTAACTTTCTATTAATTTCCATGCTATTCTACCTGTAAATTTAAATCTAAAGTTAAATATTTATTTATATATATATATAATATGAGGAAGAGTTTCACAATTTTACTGTTTTTCCTATATTTATCAAATAAATGCAGCTTTGGTGAGCATAAGAGACTTATTGTCTGTCAAGAACATAAAAAAATATTAATTACTCCAAACTTTTGGCCAATAGTGTGTGTGTGTGTGTGTGTGGGTGTAATATTATACTATATTATATTTGTAATATATCCTTTAAATTATTTTATATACAAAATTATTCTAAAAATATTTCCTGTAGCAACTGATTAATTTGATAATTAATCAAAATAATTATTACAAATAAATCAAATTAATAATATAATTATCATGAATTAACTTTCACATACAATTGAAAATAAATCAGTAACATACAAAGTATATTGTGTTTTGGTCCCATGTTGCAATAAACTTCATAGTGTGTGTGTGTGTTTGTATATTGACCTACTATGACCCTCATGCAGTGTCTGTCTGTGTGTGTGTGTGTGTGTGTGTTATATATAGTATGACCCTCAGTTTGGAGATGCTTTCTGGAACAGCAGCAAATATAGCATGGTGAGCTATCTGCTGCGGATGATGACGAGCTGGGCCATAGTCTGCAACGTCTGGTATCTGCCTCCAATGGCACATAAGGTGAGAGCTCAAGCTGTAAAGTGTAAAATAGCTGTAGCCTTTTGTAGCATGACGTTGATGTGATTAATTACGCCCTCACTGACTCCTTTCCTGTGCACACAGGAAGGAGAGGATGCTGTGCAGTTTGCCAACAGGGTGAAATCAACCATTGCACAACAAGGAGGTTTAGTGGACTTGGACTGGTGTGTAAAAGAGTTTGTCTTTAGCTGTCTTGCAGCTACAATGATTGAATTTAAAGGGATAGTTCACCCAAAAATGAAAATGTGATGTTTATCTGCTTACCCCCAGGTCATCCAAGATGTAGGTGACTTTGTTTCTTCAGTAGAACACAAACGAAGATTTTTAACACAAACCGTTGCAGTCTGTCAGTCATATAATGGAGGTGGATGGGAATCACAGCTTTGAGAGTCAAAAAAACATACACAAACAAAACCAAATTAAACCCTGTGGCTCGTGACGATACATTGATGTGTAAAGACACGAAACGATCTGTCTGTGCAAGAAACTGAACAGTATTTATATCGTTTTTTTACCTCTGATTCACCACAATGTCTGAACTGTCCTGAGATTGTAGATAGAGTGTCAATAGTCCATTTGAGAGATAGGTGGCGGTAATGCATTTATAAGTCTGCGATCCACCGTAAAGCAAGAAGAAGAAGCGTTACGCGCCTGCTGTTGAGAACACGCTCAGGACAGTTTGAACAGTTCGGACATTGCGTGAATCAGAGGTAAAAAA